AAAATTGATCATTCAATGAAATTCTATCCATCATCGAGAACTGAAAATCTTTCAATGTTTATAAAAGCTTTAAAAACGAAACGATTACATGATATACGTGATGTGCCAAAAATTTGGTCATCTATTAATTGTAATCATGATCCAAATATTGAATTTTATTGTAATGGTCGTTTACCTGTTTTTAATGAATGGATTAGTGAGAATGCAAAACGTGTATGTAGGAAGAGACAAAAAAAAATTTAGCTTTCTATTGTAATTAAAACAAAAAAATTCTTTCTTTTAAAGTTCTTTCGAAAAGTTTGGAAAGCTAGTTGTCCTGTACTTGTTAAACGAGTTCATCATAATTTATCTAAAACACTTTGGCATCCAAAGTCATTTAAATTACATATGATTGATCATCATGAAACACCATCATTATGGGATTGTGAAACATTAAAACCAATTGAAACTAATGAAGAGATTTTAATTCGTTTTTGGGAAGGATTTGAACGTTTACATGGTAAATTTCATTAAATTTATATAATTAAATTAATTTTATAATTAATAAATTAGTTCGTTTGAGAGATAAGGAACATAGTGGACGACGACGTATACTTAAATTAAAAGATTGGCCAACAAAAAAAGATTTTGCATCTGTTTTTCCATCGCGTATAAATGATCTTATGAAGAATATTCCATTTAGTAAGTGAACACAATTATTTTTATACTTGATTTTTTAAATATATTATTCAGGTGATTATACTCGACGATCGTATGTATATAATGGTGTTACATATCGTGGTGGAATTTATAATATTGTTGAACGATTACCAGCTTGTTTAGTTAAACCTGATCTTGGACCAAAGCTTTATATTGCTTATAGTAAATTGTTAATAGTATTTTTTTTTCTATTTTGTTATAATAGCTTATAGAGCAAAAGTCTTGCGACAAAATATTCACGTATTTTTCAATCACTTAGAGACAGAAGTAGTAAGTTAAAATGAGAATTCTTCTCTATTTCCGAATATATGTTCAGATTTTCCTTCTAAGATAAGATTCGACAACAATTAGTAAAATTTGTGAAAAAATCTAAAACTATATCTGTAAAAAGCAAAATAGCGGTTTTGGCACAGTTCTTATTTTATATGTTGCAACAGCTTCCATTCAACGCTATTACAGAGCACTGAATTCTGTACAAAATGAGATATTACAATAAGTGAAATATCATATCACTTCAAATCTATGCGTTTCTACTAAAGAGCTAGTTTCTATAGAAATTGGCTTTGGTAAAAATGAATGGCTATTTCAAAAACTCCTTTTAAAAATACAAGAGTTTTAAAATCTGTCATGCAAGATAAAACAGAAAACTAAATCGTATGCTTTGTAGATCAAAATTTGTTCTACAAAACTAAGCCATTAAAAACTATAGCACATTTTCA